CACACACACACACACACACACACACACACACACACACACACACACATACATACACACACCGACTGATGCTCGAATGAGGTTCTATAATAACTGCTACTCAAACGCACACCGCGTGAAAAGGCACAAACGCCCGCACGCGAGCAATCGAACACGCCTGTGGGCGCACACACGCACGCACGCACTATATTATGCGTGCATTCAGCATAATATAATAAACAGTAGTGTCGAAATTTCAGTTAACTGCTCATCTTTTATTCCGCATTGCACGGGCGAGTGACGTCGAATTAAACAGATTTATTTTTGCAACCATTAGCGTTCAACGCGATCTGTAATCGCCGAGTCGTGACACAGAACAAGGCATAAACGCTGGCTTGTTTTTGCAGCGTTATGTAAATCAAGAGTCCATACTAGAAAATAGACTCTTGATATTAATCTTAATTTTTACATTATAGACATTTCTATTATGGACTCTTGATATAAATCCAACTTACAGCCCTCGCGCTCACCGACTACCCCATATTGCCTCCTACACACATCGATCACCGCTGTCGATAGTTGTGCGCCGATACTGCTGGAAAAAGCTAGTCAGCTATTATACTACATTAGTTAATATTAAGCTTGTAGAGCGACGGAAAAGAATGCACGTCATTCGACGCGCGTTGCTATGTGTATGTATAACAAAATGATTGTATAACCTCTTACCTGACCATCATCTATTAGAGCTGATGGGCATTTTACGCGCGGATCTTTCGCTACGTTGAGCATCGGATCGTTCACGTGTATCCATGAATTATCTCGTATAGTCAAGCGCGTCCCGTCGAGACTGGAACGCAATTTAACCTAGTCGTGTTCTAGAGTTGTGAATGATTTTAACAAACATTTTTTAACCGTCAGGAGACGCGTGCTGAACGTGGTGCGTACATTGTAATATGCCGGGAAGAATTGGCGATGAGCTCACTGGAGATCAACGATATTTATAGATTGCACGTCGAACCTTTTATCAATGTTATCTCGCATTTATTCAACGCGCTAATGTTTTATTACGCGCTATATTTTCATAATCTTTTAAATATTTCGCATAAAAGGCGATTTTACGAGTTTTTAGTACACAGGTTGATGAACTAATTCGTTATAAATAAGGATAGGCAAATGGCTCTCACTATAGTATTTGTTACTTACTTATTCACTTAGCAGTCACTTATCTATATACGTCACGTTATAGTTATTTGATACTTATAGTTATGTCTTATTTAGTTACTATTTTACCAATTGTTCATTTTGTATATAAAGACAATAAAGCGCACTTGTGAGTGTAGGTAAAAGATGTAGAGCATTGATGTGAAATCAACATTAAAAATTGCCTGTAAAATCCCTAATTGAATCATCAGATGTATTCCTCATCGTTAACAGTTTTCTACCAAATATCGATGTCTAGAGATAAATAAAAATATACGTAAATATTGATGACGACGCCGACGACAACGATGATGATGACGAAGGGGCACTACATTTATGCTAATAGCAATGTTTGTTAGTCACCGTATCACGTGACTAGTATTATATAAGAATGAAGAGCGCAAGGCATAATGAGAATAGATATAATAATGAGACCGATTCTGACATAACTACATATTAAACCAGCTTTACGAACACACGTAACGTTACCGAATGCTCCTGCTATCACAGTGGCCATTTTCGAGGTTATATCGATAGGAGCTAGAGTGAGAAATACGCGCGAGCAGAAACAGAAAGCCTTCATGGCGAGTCGGCAGTAGCGGATATACGCGCGCGCGCAATTACGTGCGCAAGTCACATAATTACATCATTATGAAGCTATTATACATGACAGTTGTTTACCTTCTTATATTGCTCTCTTTCTCTCGTACAGTAATTGCATACTGTACATATATGTACTGTACATATATGTATGTACATATATATATATATATATATAATTATGATAACCTTAATTATAGACAAACATAATTAGCTGGGACTAATAAGGTGCGGTTATCCCCTGCTTGGCAGAAGCACATGACTACGCAAGTAATTGCCAATTATGGCTGTGGATGTCCCGAAAGCGAAAGTGTTTCCTAGTGACGGCATACATTATATGAGCACGCAGTGAAATATTAGCATGTCCGTAGACCGTCAGAAGCCAATTTCTAGCTCTGCTAGATGTTTACCAGGAAAAGGAGTTGCGGCGCGCATGCGCAGATGACACCGAGAGCTCACGCGCGCTTCGACAATGACGCTCGCTCCATCGCTACGGTTAGTGTTTGGTCTAGCGACGTATCTCGGGACGACAACGGAGAATGATTGCCGATTGCGATAAAGTCTCTATGCAAAACTAAGTGCGAGAAGCAATGAACGTTCTCCGGTAGCCTGAGGTCTATGTGTGTAGTATCAGCGCTCGATATGCATCACTCAGCGTTCACCCGGGCGGCGACGAATAGAGGTGTTAGATTCAGCGAGGTATATAACAGATATATACTGACGTTT